CTATTTCCAAAAATGTCAACATTTTAATTAAGCTTAATTATGATATCAGGGCAGTTTTCTTTTTATTTTTTTTATTTTTTTTACTTAAATATTTTTTTTTATTGTATTTTTAATGTGTGTGTTTGTTTGTTTGTTTGTTTTTTGTAAGTAATGCTATTGACCGGGAGATGTTTGGAGGATGGTCAATGATGTTATACTGTTAATCAGTTAAAGTTTTATCTTCTTGGCTTCACTTGTGACTTTTTAAGTGGCAGAAGAATATAGAAGCAGTTATTGTTATCAAAATCTGATCTGTTGGTCACAATACAATTACCTCTCGATCAGGGAGTTAACATAACATTACTCCAATCCCCCAAAGAGCATATGTAATGAAACTTTAAGAGAGAGGATGAGAGAAGGAAAGAAAAAAGTAAGTCTTTAAAAAATGATTATGGGAGTGATTTTAGTAAATGCTTCAGGCCCTATCATCACCCTAAAATAATAAGCTGTAATTGTGATCCTTTTCACGCTCTGTTTTCTGTTGAATGAATGTTTGTGTTCCATCAGAAACTAATGAGTCTGGTCAAAGTTGGCCTTTAATCATCTCTTTCATTAAAACATTTTATAATCGCGTCTTAATGAATGCAGCATGAAATAATGACAGCAAAAAATTGCCCTCTGCATTATGCATGGCTACAAAAAGTTGTAGTTCAAAAGCAAGGGTGTTGGAAATGGTAGACTGAAATTTACAGCATGTATTTGAAATAGTTTAAATTAAACTAGTAAATTCGGGAAAGAGAGCTACTTAGTTTCCATTTTCAGTGATTGCAGGATGTGTTGCAGAAGTTTACTCTCTTTCTAGGAGCAGTTTTCATGTCTTGTGTCATCATAGTCAACACTCAAATTAAATAAAATTGCATGCAATCATGTTTTTTAAATTAACTTCTAAATTATACAGTTTCTAATTGTTGTTGAAATATAATAATTTACAGAGTGGCTCTCATAACTTGTTTCATAAAATGTTTATTTATACATACATTAAATAATTAAGACATCACTAACAGGTAAAGTAACATATAATGACGTATATAGTTTAATATTTCACAAAATGCTCTTCACTAGACTTCATTTCACTAGCAAAGTAAAATATAATGAAGTATATAGTCTAATATTTCACAAAATGCTCTTCACTAGACTTCATTTCACTAGCAAATAACGAGCTGTATGACTTGCCTGAGGTAAATGAAATGCTACATGACATTTTGTTTACAAGCTGTTTTAATGACATCTTTCTGTGGTTGAAACGCTAATTGAGCGATTACGTGAGGGGTGAGATGTCAATTCATGTTTATTTTGCATTAAAACTAGTAATAAAGAGGAAGGGGTGATCATGCTCACTCGAGCTCCGTGCTGCCATTAGAACCGAGGCGTTTATACAGCGATATGTCATGGCACGCCACATCAAAGAGTGGCAAAACAGCATTTATTGTCTGAATTTCCTATAAAAAATGGAACGAATTATTCGACACACATGTAATTTTTTTTTTGTTGAGAATTCTTGTTGAGAACATTAACTGTATTATTTTTTTTAAATACATTTATTAAAAGCTCTAAATTAATGTAAAAAGAAAATGACTAAGAACTTAAGAATTTCTATTAAAGTGTTAATTTGTTTATTTTACTTGTCCCCTACCCAGACAATTTTGTTAAACAAAAATTAATTTATTAGGTCGGATCAGGTCAGGTTTATTTATATAGCACCTTAAAAGCAATGTGTGCTCACCAAGGTGCTGCACAGCCAAAACATCAGAAATATCAAAAAAACAAAATGCATTAAGACATATAAAATTTAAAATAATTTAATGCTAATTATAAAAAGAGGAAAAAAAAAAAAAAAACAAGAAAAGAAAAAATAAAGAAAGAAAGAAAAAAGAATACAAAACATATTAAACATATTAAAAGTTTCTTAAAATGACAACTATTTTAAAAGAAAATGATGAAGAACTTAAGATTACTATAATGTGTATTTTTAAAATAGTTGTTTTCCCTAGTACTGTCAGACTCTGTTCCATGTTTTGCTCCCCTCGTGTTCCATGTCCTGGTTTTCCCATGTGTTTCCTTTTGCCCTTATTTGGTTCTTCCTGTTCCTGTTCTGATTATGTTGATTTGTTTCCAGCCGTGTTAATTTAGTCTTATCATTTGTGCTCCTTTATAAGCCTGTCTCCTACGTCCATTCATCGTCCGGTATTGTGAATGTCTGTTGATGTCTAGCTCCTTTGCTGCGTGTGTTTTCCTGGTTCCCTTGATATAATTAAAATCTCCTTATTGATGTACTTTACAAATTTTGATTTAGTTTTAGTCATAGCCTTTTGACTAAAATGCCATTTAGTTTTGGTCATATTTTAGTCATAGATTTTAGTCGACTAAATCTACAGTAAATTTAGTCTAATAAATTTCAGTAAAATTAGCTAAAATTAGTCAGTAAAATGAGCTAAAATCTAATGGGTTTAGTTACAGTGCATTTATTAAGCATTTCTCAAAAATGTCCAAACTCATTATATAGGTTTGATATTAAGGTTTTATCATGATAGACAACGATTTAACTGCCGTGACACATGCCTTTATGATGATATTAAGGATTGAACATGCAATATAGACACAGATATAACTGTTGTGACACATAACATGCCTTAAAATGAAATAAAATGACTAATAAAGAAACAAGAACATGGTCTTGTTTTTAATGAAATACCAATGGTTATATAGGCTAATTATGCATTCTTTATAGGCCTACCAACTTGTTATCCATATTATTCTTTCTTTCAAGCAGACATATTTATTTCTATGAATAAATTTAGATTAATCTTTAGGGCTACTAAAGTGCAGTGCATGATTTTCTGTCTTTCTTCTGTTGCTTGATTAACATCAATGACTTGGACAATAACAACTAAATTAGGCTGATATCCCTTTAAAACCGAATGCACAGCTGCAATGAATGCAATGTACTGATACACGTTTGCCTTGTACAAATACCCACACTTGCGGTCTTTGCACTTGACCACTTGACTACTTATATGACGTATTTGGCCCAAGTGTTCAAGTGAGCATGATCACAAGTGTGTGTTGAACTTTTCATTAGCTGATGGGACACACTTGTAGTGTTGTAAAAATGCAAGTGTTTACATAGCTTTATTTTAATTTTAATTTTAAATACTTTGCATTTTAAAATCAACTTCTAAATGTCTGTTCAGTAGTCCCTATAACATGACAATTTTAATTTGTGGTGCTTCCAATTAAGTGATAAAAAGCAGTTGCAAATGTTGTACAAAATAAATATCACCACTACTCATCTTTGCACCTCTCGCGAGATCTCGGCAAAAAGTCTCACGATTTATTTCCAGAACATGATGCATGATGGGATACACTAAGCCTCGAATAGCGCTCCGGAGCGGTATTCGAGAT